GTATTATTCATGTAAACGCCATCTATCGCCCTGTAGTTGCACTACCACTTAACCCTGATGCAATGATTTTAGAATTACATTGACAACCGTGCCCGATCAGCTGATTGATGACGTGTACGTCGTTTCCTTTTGAATTTACTACACTGAGAAAAAAGTTTATGGTTCCAAAATAAAAAGAATAATTAAATATGGGACAGAAGAATTGTTTATTTATCCTAAATATATTTTTATTCCTGACACATAGTTTTACTAAAGTAAATTTATCGTTATTATTTCGACTATTTACAATATATTCACTATTAATAAAAAATATTAGCTACACAGTTTATTTGTCCCATTTTTTCTCAGTGTATATGTGTACTCCAAATTTTATACAGAATTTAAAAATGTAATAATATATGGGGTGTTTGTTCTATTTGAAATAACCGGTTAAACTGGAAGTGGCATTTTGTTTAAAATATTTTAGAAAAAAATTAAAATCGATATATTTTATCGTTCCCCAGAAACTTCTAATGGACCACGTATGTGAAACACCATGTATACTTCCTCCTTTATCTCAAACGTTTTTTGTAAGTATAATTTTATTTACATATTATCACATGTATTCCAGACTGTACTGTCAATTCCATCCCGTCCCTTCGATAAATTGATATGCACATTACAATTTAATTGTATTTATGCAATGCGTTACGCTTGGAATATTGTTTTCCTTTGTAACAACAAGCAATATCGTTCACACATTGGTCTCACATTACACAGCATTTCGTAATTAAATTATCGTCACCATTAATTAAAATTATTTTTGGTTTTGAAGTTTATTTCGAAAATACGTGAATTTTTGAATACAATTAATGTATCAATTAAATTATTGGGGCGGACCGATTTGTAACCATGGAAATAAATTAGGTAATCATTATATTAAATGTTTATCGTCTATAAGTCAAATTATACATAACGTTAAGTGCAAAAAATTTAAAAAAATAATAATCCGGCTCTGCTTAACTCCGTGCTGACCTCCCACTCCAAAAAAAAAAAAACCGCGACCGCTTTATCAGCCCGCGTGATGGCTTTTGCAGCGAGTTGACACAAACCGTCGACTTGATGCATTTCCATCGCTGATTTTATTATTTATTGGTTTAACTGAAGCGAGTAAACATAAATAAATTATCGGAGATGGAGATGAAAATAATGGGGATGAAATTTATTGTTTGTTGAACATGAGGATTTAATCGATATTAAGTAATTGTTGAAATAAAACATTGTGAATGAAATATTTTCCAATCGGTTGCTTGGTAGAAGAGGTGCAGATGAGTGGCCAGCCCGATCTCCAGATCTTACCCCGTTGGACTTTTTTCTGTGGGGTTACCTTCAAAATAAAGGTTATGTCAGCAAACCAAATAATATTCTCTCTAAAAATGAATTAGTCAAAAATTACTAATTGTCAGAGAAAAAGCAGCCACTATTATTATAATAATTCTCGTCAATCCCGAACATTTAGCATTCAATTTCCATGTAAAATTGTCCCCTGAATCCGAAAATGTGGTCAAAAGTTGAAAAAGTAGAACAGTTTTTGAGATGTAGCTAATTTTTCATATAATATGGAATTGACTTTAAATATAAGCCTATAATTTTTCGTAAACCTAAGGTTGAATATTTTATTTACAGCTTATAACTAAGCCATTTACAAAGTTAAAAACCTTATTCAGGTAAAAAGATAACGACTGGAAAAGATTTCGCTTCAACAAAGATTATTTTTCATAAAACTTTGTAAATGTTAAATCACAAGCTTCAGTAATTTTTCGTGGGCATCAAAAACGTACGTTAGTCGGGCGATTTAACGAATATGAATTGTTTAGGATGGAAATTTATTGTGTAAAAAGATTGAAAAATGTTTTTCACTATTTACATGAACCAGTGGTGTACTCAAAGTTTTTAGATATTTGACTATAAAAATATTAATAATTCCACAAAATTTGTTTACTTTATAAAGATAAGAACTTATACATTTTATAATATAAAGGTACCTGGTATAATAATTATGAAAGGCATTTAATATAACAAATATCTTATATATGTTTCTTAAAAAAAATAACATTTACGAGGTGTGTTCAGAAAATAACGGGAATTATTAAATTTCGCGGGTTCGGAGGGTCCGGTTGTCATAAAATTTTCTTTATTATGTTGGTATACATGCCCCCGAAGTATGATAAAAACTTTAACTGTTTTTATCGTTTACTTTGTCTGTGGCAGCCGCTAAGGTTAGACGTGTTTTATGAACTCGGCGATTTTTCGTTCGTTAAAAGAAATGGATCAAAGAATGAAATAAATTCTGTGAAATGTTAACAAAGGGGTATAGTGAGTCTGCTATAAGTAAAACAAGAGTTTACAAGTGGTATAAGAGTTTCCAAGATGGCCGTAAAGACGTTGAAGATGACGAACGCCCCGAACTCACAAGCACATTAACAACCGATAAATCATGGAAAAAGTGAAAGAAACGGTTATAAACCATCAGAGAAGTCGCTGATGATGTTGGTATATTGATTGGCTCATCCCATGAAATTTTTCGAATGTTTTGGGTATGAAACGCTTGGCAGCAAAATTGTTAAATTTTGAACAAAATTTTTGGCCAAAAACAATACTGTAATGATGCCCCAGCCTCCATATTCGCCAGACATGCCTTTGTCTGACTTTTTCCTATTCCCAAAAATAAAGAGAACCTTAAAGGGCCGTCGTTTTGCAAGCATAGATGACATTTAAAGCGCATCGCTAAAAGAACTAAAGGCTATCCCAAAGATCGAGTTTTACAAGTGTTTCGAGTATTGGAAGAAGAGCTGGCACATGTGCATAATATCCAATGGGGATATTTTGAAGGCGACAACATTAATGTAGACGAATAAATAAATATTTGTTTCAAAAAACGAAAATTTCCGATATTTTCTGAACACACCTCGTATTTGGTCTGTGGTCCTTAAATTTATCACGTGTATCTTTCTTAGCGTCACGGATAAAACAATGCACTCACAACGAAACACGTGAGTATTATATAAGTAAAGTTTTATAATAAAAAAACGTGGGCGACATTTATTTTAATAATGAAGTAAAACAGTCAGCAGAAATATAGAAAATCTATTTTTATTAAAAAATCCCTGTGGCAAGCTAAAATTATTTAATTTCACTAATTGCTTAACTTCAATTGATTGGAGCTCCATTATCCTTATCTAATTTTACCTATAGTAAATCGTTAAAAGTTAAAATAAAAAAAAACAACCAATACTGTCTACCCTACTTTGTATTTTAAACCCTATATCCCAAAAAAACATACCCATAATGTAAAATAAATTGAAAGTATTTGAATTTCTTATTTTACAGTAGATCTACTTTATTTTAGTTGAAATATTAAAGTTTTTATTCAAAACGATATTGTTTTATAAAAAAAACGTTTTAAACTGCAGGTACAAAATTTACTGGAATATAAAAGTTAAACCAAGTGTTAATAATGATGATAAATTTTGCTGTTATGGATATGTTTCTCAATACTTCTTATATAAAGTAAGAAAAAAATTAAAATATTACACTTGTCATAAAAATTAAATTTTTTGTTTGTTCAGTACCTTTCATTTCTTAGAACGGGCGCCAAATCAAGACATAAAATGAATGATTACCTCAAAAAATAGAGTTTGAAAGTTACAGGCGCACGTACTTAAAATTTTACAATTGTTTTTCTCAAAAGATGTAACTATGTTCCAAATTTTAACCTAATATTAATATTATCAAATACTTGAATAATTAATCAGTTTTAAATTTCAAATCGAACATGATGGTCTGAATTAAAATAATGTAAAGAAATAATATTTTTGCCCAAGAAATATATGGTTAACAGATTGACCAGTTTATATGTGAATTCGACAACTTTTCATGAGTTTCTTATAACCGTATACGGAAACTGTAGATTCGATATTGCTGATTTATTTATTTATTAATATCCAATACTTTTTCAATTTTCTGAGATTATCTCACTTTGTGAAATTGATATATCAATCATATTAAAAAAAAAATAAAAGTTTAATATTTCTATTAGTATAAATCTCTTTTCTCCTCTATCTTAAATATCACGTTTTCCGACATAAGTTTGCTAGAGTTAAATGTAAATTTATTCTTATATCCTATAGATAGGATCCTTATTCCTTGCAGGATATTAAATTGCAGGACCCATTACAATCACCAGATAGGAAAAGAAAATTACAATTATTACAATAATAGGATTTTAATTAAAATTTGACTGAAGGTTTCCATTATTTTTTTTAATTTTTACGATCTACGTAGTATAGTGAGAGCAAAGATGTATACTTTTATAATTTATTAACTATAATATATACAAACACTAATATATAATTATTATCTAAACTTTACAGTATTAATATTAAGGAAGTAAAAATGGACTATAATTTAAAATTATTATTTAACAAGAAAAATATAATTTTTAATCGTTAAAATATATTCAATGTTTAAGAAAATAACTGAGTATAACAAATATTACCATTTTATAGTTCGTTTACTTACAAAAGTATATGTAATATGTTTAATTATTTGAGTTACAACATGTAAAATTATTAATGTAATTAAAATTGAGTTCACTGTATTTTAGTAAAGATGAATTAAAATGCATTTTCAGAAGGAATACAATATTTTTACAATTTTATTTATTTAATCAAAACTTAAAATAAAATAAACAAAAAAATGTTCGTGGGTATTAAAATGGACTTTACAAAAGTAAAATAAGGGTGTTTCCTAAATTATTGTTGTTATTTACATAAATTATTATTAAATACTTTATACATTGAGCGCTTAAATTTTACTTTTTTAACACACTGGACAATAGAAAGTATAAAAAGATTTTTATAATTTTTAGAAAATGGCAATAAAACCTTTGAAAAGTTTGAACATTATTTTGGTTGACGCATATTTTTTGTTAATTTTTGTAGACCCAAGAAATAAATTATTAATGTTTGAAATACAGGGTTTCTACTCACCATAATAGAGGTTGTAGAACCATTTATACTATGGAATATCAAATTCCATTAAAGGACGTAAATATTTTACATCCGAAAACATTGCTCTAAATATGAAAGTGCTTGTCAATCAAAACAGGCATTTTAAAAGTACTAAAAGTCCCACAATTTTTATTTGTGAAATTAACTGAAGTTATATTCTATTCTATTGTCCAATGTTCAAAATGTATTTTACAAACGGTTAGATTAATCTATTATTGCAAAACTCTCGTGCTCCTTTTATGGAAAACAAACACAATGAAAAATTTAACCCATCTAACGTTCTGCTGGCTCGCTTCTTATGTCAAGCTCTCAGACGAAGATCGAGATTATACAGAGTCCCGTAAACGTTTAAAACTTATTGCGGTGTTTGTCAGCAAGATGGACAACGTACGAGTCCCACTTCATCGCAATTCATGCACTTTAGAGCCACGAACTCGGCGGTAAAGTGATTTCTGTGTACAGATTTCTTGCTTCCGTTACATACTGTACACGGCATTAGCCTGTAGCCTCCGCAGGATTTACAGGTACTGCAGGCATCGGTGCTCTAAAAATTAAAAAAAAAACAATATATTATTATTATTTTATTTATTTTTTCTACCCCCACCTTAAACACGTCGATTATCGTACATGTTTCAATGACATTAAGTTCTTTTATTATGCAACAAATTTATTCTGGATTTTAAAATAAATAAATTAGGATTTGTGGTTACCCAAGCTTTTAAATATTCAAAAAAAAAATTCTTTCATTATTGTGTTCGGTTTGACTCTACATGTGGTGGCATGCAATTCAACTTAATGTGTTTTATCGTTAAGTCGGTTTCATATAGATTGCGAAATACGAATATTCGCATTTCGCAACTCCTATTTCATATAGATGCGAACTATTTTGGGGACATTGTTTTCCCGCTAGGCGATATTTGCCATCCTTTAAACTTAAATAGTAAATTAAGTTAAAATAACTATAAAGGTAAAATAAGTAACATTAATGTACTATGCTCCACACCTCAAAGTCCCACCACGTGACCACGTACGGAACGCAGTCTTTTAAAAATTTGGCATTTAAGGCTTTTCAGGTTATGTATCTGTCAAAGTATAGTCAACGAAAGAAATAATATTATGTTTAGGCGTTAAAAATGTATAAATCTTTATAACATTACAATAACAATGGATGGTTTAAGAATTTAAGAATATAAATACTGCATTTAATGAAATTCTAAAGTGTATGGTGCCAAATATGTAATATTTTTGTGCATTTGGTCCAAATATCTGGTTTTCTCCATAAAACAATTTTAACTAAACAGCATTTATTAAAAAAAATCTAGCTTCTCTATTATGGAATAAGAATATCTGTATTAAAGGTAGGTTAATATATTATAACAAAAATATCATCTAATTTTGTAATTTTAAGGTTAGGAAAATTTATTTTGGCCAAAATAAATAAGTATTTTGTAATATTTAAAATACAGTATGTATACCATATATATTTAAAAATGTGGTAGTTTTTCTTATCCAGCTTAAAGTGTACCTACATAAAGTTTTGTCAATACAAATGGTTAAAAAGCTTCGACTGAAGTTGATCTACATCAAAAAATCATTATAACTTTAATATTTTAATAACCCACATGTCATGGGAGTATTAAATATTTTTACATTGCAAGTTTCTCTAAAAATTGTTTGTTTTCTTATAATCTAACTAAAAGTAGGTATGCCGAGAGGTATGCACAAGTTTTGTCGTTAGAAGTATAAAAGCTTCAATTTAATTTGAACCATATTTAACAATTATTTAGTATACCTATATTTATTTATGACCATATTAACACACTTTTCTAAATAATCCACTTATTTATTTTGGTCAAAATAGATTTTTCTAACCTTAAAATACAAAATTAGATGATATTTTTTGTTATAATACATTAACCTACCTTTGATACAGATATTCTTATTTCAAAATAGAGAAGTTAGATTTTTTTTAAATAAATCCTGTTTAGTTAAAACTATTTTATGGAGAAATGTAGACCCAATGCACAAAAATATCACTTATATTGCACCTTACACTTTGGAATTTAATTAAATGCAGTATTTATATTCCTAAATTCTTAAACCAACCATTGTTATTGTGATACTATAAAGATTTATTAACTTTTAACGCTTAAACATAAGCGGTAACACTATAAATATTATTTCTTTCATTGACTATACTTTGACAGATACATAACCTGAAAAGCCTTAAATGCCAAATTTTCAAAAGACTGCGTTCCGTACGTGGTCACGTGGTGGGACTTTGAGTGTGAAGCATAGTACCTCAAAAAACTCTGTCCATTATAAAAAACAAAAAAACTCTAAACACTGTTCAAGATTCCCGCCTCCTAGATTCAAATCTTGCGAATTAGGATCTGTCGAAACGTCGAAACGATTTTCCCGCCAAATCAAATGCATTTTTCAAATTTTGAAATTCGCATTTCGCTTCTATATGAAACGGGCTTTATATTAACTTGTAAAATGTTCTTCTAATATTTTATGGAAAAATTATTTTAAATTATAATTTCAATTAAATACTTTAAATATATATATTTTGTAGAGATTATTTCCCTCAATATAATATGAACCAATCAAAAGCCTTGAATTTTCTAATAAATTTCGTTTAAATAAGCGATTAAATCACTAGACCTTTTTAACAGCGATTAAATTTTAGCCTCCATATTGGATTTTTGTTTACGATTTTATGGTGTTATTTACAAGTTTTAACAAACATTTTTTAAAAAACAATAAAAAATAAGTTATCTAGTTTTCGAAATATCAATTATTACTTATTACATAGCTTTAATTAATGGAATTTCCTTTAAAAAAATATTTATAAACTTTGACACATACGTCAGATTTTATGAATGGTCAAATAGTTTCCTTTAATTCGAGAAATAATCTAGACGTATATCACTCAACCTATAAATTTAATCTGTCAAACTATGCTCAGTAAGTTTTTTATTTGATTTTTCTTTTTGGAAAATAGTTTCATGCAAAATAATTAAAAATAAAACCCCTCGACCGCTACGCGGTCTCGTGATTTTATTAAATTATTTTGCATTCAACATTTTCCAACAAAAACCAAACAAAAAACTACTGAGCCTAGTTTACCCGATTAAATTCATAGTTCTCGTGATATAATATATGATTATAAACTATATTTGGTATTTTATAGTTTGTCAAAGGTGGGTATTACCAAAAAGTTAGGACTCACCTTAAAGTTTTTTAGTATTCTTCTTAGCTCTCCGCTTTCGTTAAGTCGCTCTATTGTTTCGGCATCCTAAAATGTCAGACATAAAGCAAATATTAAGTATCTTATAGGGGATTTAACGTAAATATTTGGTAGAGAAAAAAAACTACTAACTAGTAAATTTAAACCTAGTTGATATGCATATGGTGATACTTTAAGAATATTATACAGGATATATGTACGTATAAATAATAAAAACCCAATTGTGTAATAATTTTGTTGTTATACAGTGTGCACCGACTTGTTTTTTTTTTAATTTTTTGTTTTTTAAATTATTTAATTTTCTTCAATTTTTAAATGCCATATAATTTTACATGTAGGGTATTTCCAGGAAACCAAAATAACAACTATATCTGAAGTCAAATAGTTTAATTTCTACGTAATTTATAACCTTAAAATATTCGTACATTGTGATGCTAAAAAGCTAACATTAAGAATAAATACGGAAGAGTTTCAATACTCGATAAAATGTTCAAATGTCGCACCCGTTACATTTTGTGAAAATTTTAGAAAATAAAGTATGCAATTTTTGTGCATTTAAAATACGTGCTTGTTTAAGGTTACTATTCAAGTTTTACACAAAAAATTATTACTATATGCTTTCATCCAAAATTTTACAGTATTAACTTTAGAAGCCGATTTTTGAAGGTCGCGCCCGTTACACTATTCATGACTTTATAAAAGGTTTTCTATCCAAGTTTTTATTAACATTTAGTTTGAGTTAAATATCTAATTTTTCATGCTATTTTTTTATATTAACGTATCTTGATATATATGAACAAACACTTTATTATCATGAAAAAACGCATTTTTAGTGTCGCACCTGTTAATTTAACCGATCTTCCAGCTCTTTAAATAAAAAAGATACCCATTAGGGTGCTTAAAAAAAATTTTAATTGTTTTTTTCGCTCTTACCCTCTCAAATGTTTCTATTTAATATAAAAAAAATCCTCACCAAATATGGGCGTTCCAGCTTAACTCTAAGAGGTCGCTGTTTTTATTTTAGTTTCCCATTTAATTAACATGGGAAAAAATAATTTTATGTTTGGAATTTTATACCTCTGTATCAAAGTAACTTATGGCAATGATCATTGCAGTTTCTTATATAAAATTTTTCGATAAATTGATTTCTTCCAGAGTTATTCGAGGTCGAAGTTTGATTAACATCAAATTTTCTGTTTTTTTTCATTTTATGGTACGATTAGCAGACGGGAGGTGAAAGGGGGCAAAACAAGGCAGCGTGGGGGGCAAAATGGGGTACCCAAAAATTTTCGTAAAAAAATTTTTGTTTAGATTATTTTTTTCGGTTTCTAAATTATTTGAAAATATATTGACTTACAAGTTCACGCTTTTAATCGAAAATAATTATTCTGAGCCTGTAGAGCGAGACAACGGAAGGTACAAATTTGGAAAACTTTTCCAAGGAACTTTTTTTTCGGATTGGATGCAAACTTGGGTGCTTAAAAAAATTTTAATTTTTTTTTCAAGTCTATCTCTCCCAAATGTTGGTGATTGATAAAAAAAATTAAATTTTTTTTTGAAGCACCGTAGTTGGAAAAGTTCTTTTTCTCGCTTTACAGGCTCAGAACAATTATTTTCGATTAAAGGGGTGAATTTGTCAATATATTTTCAAATGATTTAGAAACCGAAAAAAACAATTAAAAAAAAAATTTACGAAATTTTTTGGGTACCCCATTTTGCCCCCCCCCGCTGCTTTGTTTTGCCCCCTTTCACCTCCCGTCTGCTAATTGTACCATAAAATTAAAAAAAAAACAGAAAATTTGATGTTAATCAAACTTTGACCTCGAATAACTCTAGACGAAATCAATTTATCGAAAAATAATAAGAGACCTTTTTTGTATAGCGTTACATTTTATATAAGAAAGTGCAATGATCATTACCATAAGTTACTTTGATACAAAGGTATAAAATTCCAAACATAAAATTATTTTTTTTCATGTTAATTAAATGGGAAACTAAAATAAAAACAGCGACCTCTTAGAGTTTAGCGGGAACGCCCATATTTGGTGAGGATTTTTAAATAGAAACATTTGAGGGGGTAAGAGCGAAAAAAAAACAATTAATTTTTTTTTTGAAGCACCCTAATACCCATACATAGAAAGATTTTTGATGCATCCTGTAGATACCTATATTGATTTATATACGTGGAAAAGTATTACAACAAAAATCAATGTTATACGAGAAATGTATTAATACGATCCTCCTTTTTTATTCATATTTTATTTTATAAATTTAATCATTTAATTTAGTATTTTTTTATTTATATTCCTTCTACAAAATACATCTTCAAAAATTACCATAAATACAAGCATGCATGTAATCAAACAACATTCCACAGGTTTAACAGGTAGATATGGCGTGTAATAAAGTGTGGTTTCAAGGTCATAGGTGACCTCGTTCGGTGTCCCAGTAAACGAAACAGAAAAGAAAGAAAATCCAAAGAGTTTTATTCATGTAGGTGTTAAAAATGCTGTCGTTTGAAAGTGGGACAACTTTTATGATAAATAAACTGATGCTATTTATAGAGTGACCCTAAGTATGGAACAAATTCATTAAAAAATGTGCCTTTTTTCCCCGAAAAATTTCCTAAACATGTCGATTTTGCTTTTTAATTTCGCACAATGGAAGAACTTACTCCTATGTGTTGTCCATCGACAAAGACTTGCGGAACGAGTATGTGGTCGCAGTGCATCCTTTCCTGGATTTCGGCTTGAAACTCGGCGCTCATGAAGACGTCGCGTTCCTCGAATTTGACCAGCAGCGTCCGCAGAATCTGCTTCACTTTCATGCACGCCTGGTAGGTGTTCCGCAAGATGCCCATCGTAGTCGTGTACACCACCACTTTGCCAGCCTCTTTTTCCTTGTAGTTCTGGAAAAATACAAATGTTAAAAGATCCACAATTGTATGAAAGAAAAACAATTTTGTGTCTTGCCTCAACGTGTGTAATTATGGCAAGCCGTTTTAGTTTTTATTACACATGGCTATCAAGTCCCATTTTAATTCGACTTGATTTCCATGAGACATTAGATAATTGAAATTATATGTATTTTCCTTAAGGGAAATTACATTTTTATTATAATTTCAAAATTGAATGCATATTTTCTTTACAAATAGTAAAAATAATGCATTTGTTGTATTTATTTCCATTGGTTTTTTAAATATTGTCCTTAACGTGAAAGCAATTTTCGTTAACAGAAATTGTATTAAATTTACTAATTATAATTTTAATGCAAATTATTTTTACTTTTTTAGTTTTTTGGAGCAATTTTATGACACATTAAAAGGATTTTATTTTAATTCAATTTTATTAAAGTAGCTTCTGACTTGGATACAATGTTACATTTTATTTATGTTAGACCAGGCTAAGTATTAAAATAAAACGTATTAAAATTACTATTACGAATATAAATGCATTTATCCTTAAAGATATAGTTTTATACTTTTAGTACTTTCCTAAATGACATAAAAATTAAAAACATTTTAATTTGAAATACTCATTGAAATGTTGTTCCCGAATAAAATTTAGAACCGCAATACATAGAGTCTAACAATATTTAGAGAATCAGAAAATAACATCGAATTAAAATGAGACTTAATGATCATGTGTACAAAAAATAGCTCGAATTACTTTTATTTTTAACTAAACAAAAATAAACTTCTATTTCCGTTAAGGGAAATTACAATTCCCTTAACGAAAATGTTATTTTCCTTAACGGAAATGCTATTTCCCTTAACAGAAATTACATTTCCCTTAAGAGAAATTAGTGGCGCTATCTGTGGTGAAGATGCCGAAGGTTCCACCGCTTACAGAGTTCTGCCAACTTTGGTTGGAATGCCAGAATCTTTCATTTTGTTTGAATGCAACAAATATGACACAATTAACAATAATGAATAATATTACTACTACAGTTTGCTATTTACTACTTCTTTTCGTTTTATTATCCTTTATTAGAAACGTTAAAACACACCTTACACATGCGGCGTTGCCACACAACATTCGATTCGAATGATGCGATTCCAAAGTCGATCGGTGTCATCGCGATTCGATTCGGAGAGTTTGGTTTTCTCGAGTAGTACCCATAATTATTAATATTACTATTATTATAGCATTATCAATACAAATTTTGTGACAATTTTCTGAAAATTCGATAATTTTGTCAATAATTTGTCGATGATTTGTCGATAAATTCACTTTTTAACTACATCTGGCAACAATATATTTTTATGGTGGATGTCAACAGGTGTAACGGTTGGTTTTTAAATTAAAAAGGTAACAATCAAAAAAATTCTTTTTACTAATAAATCTTTTGTAAAATCACAGTGCAATAATTTCATTTTATAGAATTTTGATAAAATTAACTATTTAAACTTCAGCCGTCCTCTCATAGATGGCGCCAATTTCCCTTAACGGAAATGCTATTTCCCTTAAGAGAAATACAATTTCTCTTAACAGAAATGATATTTCCCTTAAGGGAAATTGCATTTCCGTTAAAGTAAATGCATTTAAATTCTTAATTATAATAAAAACTACTTTCCTTAACGAAATTTGCATTAAAATTACTATTTGTCATAAAAATAATTTTTATTATTATTTCAAATAAAAATGAAATGTTTTAGTATTTTTATTACAATTTCGAATGTAAATCATCCTCTACATCTAATCTTTTCAATTGAATGTACCCAAAATTTCAATGCTTATTAAAAAAGGAATTTTATTTATAATTTGTAATTAAAATGTAATTTCCCTTAAGGAAAATACATATAATTTCAATTATCTAATGTCTCATGGAAATCAAGTCGAATTAAAATGGGACTTGATAGCCATGTGTAATAAAAACTAAAACGGCTTGCCATATGTAATAGACTGGGCCAAAAAAATCAACAATTTTTTTTAAAAGTATATCGAAAATATGGTTTGGGGTGACAAAAAAAATATTGTGAAAGTTTGAGTCCATAATATTAATATTAATAATATCATCGCAATTTTAATTTTTTTTCCTCAGCAAGTTTTTGTCTCAGAACTCCCAAACTATTGAGTTTGACAAAATTAAATGCTCTACAAAAAAGGTTAAAATAAAATTTTCCGTCAGATGAACCGTTTCCTTAAAATCATGTCTTAAAAATTGGTATATTTTTACATTTTGATCTTTTAACTTTGGAATTTTGAAATTCATGTAAAAATCAGTACCCGGAAAAAAAACCTATAGATATTCTTATGGGAAATCAAATGCTCTACAAAAAAGCCTCTTAACATTTTTTGCTAAATTCACTCAATCAAAAGTTACTGAAGGTTAAAGTTGAAGTCAAAACTAAATTTTTGTTTTTTCCTCTGTAGATTTATTTTTTTATGGGTAATAATTTAATTTTTTTTTTTATAAATGTGTATTATATAACTAATTAACAATTTCCAATAAAAAAACAACATAATTGTTATTATTTAAACGATTAAATAGGTAACAGTGAACATAATATTTTCTAAAGAAAATAGCTTCTTACAGCGAAAAAACTCCAATGTGTTATTTTGTTTAATTTTCAGTAATTTTATTAATAACATAAAGATTATCGTAAGTAATATCATGAGGGCATTTAATTTTTCCGAAAAAAATCGAAAAAACACGTTGCTAAGTAATATTTTATTGTGCTGGTGGCAACAAAAATCCGAGTCGAAGAGGAGGATTTTTGCACCTGCACGAATGCATTTTGTTAAAAAATATTACTTAGCATTGTGTTTTTTCGATTTTTTTCACAGGAAAAATTAGATGCCCGAATGGTATTTGACAAGACTATTTCATGAGTAACAGTAAACAATTAAAATATAAATTGCAATTTTTTTTGACAACAGCTGTCAAGTTTTGCCGCGGGTAAACTCGAAAAAACTGCTGACAGGTGCTGTCATACAGTTTTTTCACCTAGAAACCATTTGTAATTCAAAATTGCGCGTTTGTGATTGGTCGAAATTAAGACGAGGGAAATAGTCATCGATAAAAGAATTTAAGTTTTAACTGATCAAAAAAAAAATCTAGAGCAGAAAAAACAAGAATTTCGTTTTAACTTTAAATTTAACCTTGAATAACTTTTGATGGAGTGAATTTAGCCAAAAAAGTTAGGAGACTTTTTTTGTAGAGAATTTGATTTCCCATAAGAATATCTATCGGTTTTTTCCGGGTACTCATTTTTACATGAATTACAAAATTCCAGTTAAAAACTATACCAATTTTTAAGGCATGATTGTAAGAAAACGGTTCATCTGACGGAAAATTCCAATCAAACCTTTTTTGTAGAACATTAAATTTTCTTTAAAAAATATTTTTAAGTCAATTTTGTTAAACTCAATGGTTTGGGTTCTGAGACAAAAACTCGCTCAGGAAAATAAATCTAAAATTGCGATGATAAACCTCTTAATATTAATATTATGTTGTTGTCACCCCAAACAATATTTTCCATAGGTATACAGAAAAAAAATAGTCGATTTTTTTGGCCCACTCTAATGTGTCGCCCAGAAAATACGTATTTTATAAACCACTTGTTTCAGTTTTTGCTTGTTTTTAGAGGTTAACTAGGGTTTTAAAGTGTCAGCAAAAAACCTTTTTTCCCCGGCTTTGAAAAAAATGCCTTTTGGGGAAAAATTTGAAAAAATCCTAAAAAAGTGGGAAAAAGTTATACTTTTTTATATATTTTTTTTCAAACGAGGTTTTTTTCTTACTTTTTTACTCTTCTGAAGATCCTTCCAAAGTTTCAGATTTTTAAATTAATTTTTAACTTGTGGGAAAAAATCAAAATTTTTTATAATTTCTTTTTGAAACGAGGTTTGTTCTTACTTTTGTACCCTTCTGAAGGTACCTACTCCCAAAGTTTCAGATTTTTAGGTGTCAAAGTTGAGGTGATCATTGTAAAAATTATGAAAAACATCATAAATTCAAAGCGAGTGATTTGTTTTTTTGTTCGTTAAGTTTTTTTACGATTTCTCATAATTTTCTAGGATCCATTTTAGTAGAGTAATACTATTAACATTTTTGCTTTGTAAATAGTTTTTGTTTATTAAAAGTGACAAGGAATCTTAAAGGAAGTGTATTCCACTTATGCAGTGAACGTTCATTTAAAATTACAATATTAAGAAATACACATTGAGTACTGTAATGGGATTCCTGATTCCGACGTCGGTGTGAACGGTTGTGTACACGATTGACCTTAGCATTGACCACGACGAATTTCGGCACTTCTTGAGCTTGGCTGCATTCCCAACTGTGAGTGTTTACCTTTCCTTTGTTTTAATAGGAGCATATCATTTAAAATAAGTTTCATTTGGCACCGCGACCAGCATGGCCGGTCGCGGCCGCGGAAAGCCACCTGATCCGGGTGTTTCTCAGACAGGGGCTAACAATTATTTAGATGATAAAGTAGTAGATAAACATTTGATTGATGCTGCTGAGGGTCTCCTATCACTTGGAGATACTCCTGCCGCTATTACATCGCAATTAGCTGACAAACAAAAAACGCATTCTTTTGATAAAAAAACGGAGCGTGAAAAAACGGAGCGTCAAAAAACTGAACATTATGTTGAATTAAATAAAATGTACAATAAAATTAGATACGGTTTATACGATCCGGGACCATTTGTCATTAACGTACAATCAATGGATTTATCCATTTTAAATCATCAAAAATTGGGAAAGTCCTTATTTACTGATAAATTGCCTAATATTATTCGGGTTACAAAAAGAGGTAAAAACAGATCTGCAATTTATTTTAAAACTTTTGAATCCGCCAATCAATTCTTGGATAACGAAACTTTTTTGAAAAATAATAATCTGGTTGCCTCAATTCCAAGACACTTAATCTCAACAAAAGGTCTTATTAGAAACGTCGAT